TTCAAAAAAGTTTAGAAGAGAAATTCATGTCACTTTCCAATTAACACCGACTGCTCAAGCAATATAAAAATTTAAATTTATGACCATAAATAGTGTACTATAAAACTAAAGTAGTATGAAATAATATTTGCTAGTTAGAGATAATTATGGTTATTCTTCAATAAATAAATAATTAAAGGATATAATCATAATTGATAAACATAATATTTTATAAGAAAACAAGCTATATCCTTCAAGTATCAAAACATTTGATGCATTGTGCTAGTCGATAATGTTTGCCATGAAATTGCTTGCTTTGCTTTCATTCTCTTTCTCATCATGTTGGGCATTGTCTTATAAACTTCATAATATTTAAACAAGCTTCGCCAATTTATATCATTTGCCTAATCCCCTACCATTCGCCAAAAAAATTATTAATAAAAATTGGAGTCCATTTGAAATTTATTTATGTGAAAAATAAAATTTAATAAATTTTCTTCTAAAATTTAGAATACTTAGTAATTTTGTTCCGTGCGTGAGTGAGTGAGAGAGAGAGAGAGCACTTGCAATTATTGAAAGAACAACCAATCTAGGAGAATAGAGAAACATCCATTGAAACCTAAACCCAATGGAAACATAAAGGTGAGAACACAAAACAACCAAATCTATACATTAAATGGCAACTCACACACACTATAAACTTCAAGTTAGCAACAATAGTTTCTTTTAAACACCTCCCCCACCCCCCAAACTAATACAATATTGTAAAATTCCAAATATTAATTTACTCCCCTACACGTTAAAAATAAAACTAAATAAAATTTACAACAAAAAGCGGCAGCAGCGAAAGAAATCACCTGCATCCACCATCACCATTGAACGGCAAGAATCACCTCAGCAGCTGCCCCCATAGCCTCAACTCCCCGCTTCCTCAGCAGAGCAAGAGCAAGCTCATCCTGATTCCAGTTCCTCAGCCCTCTGCTCAGCCTCTTCACCACCCCCAGATTCACCTCCATCACCCAACTCGCCGCACATTCCACCACCAACCCCAAAAACCCAGACACATAAGCCCTCCACAGAGACAAATCACACCCAAGCGAGATCTTCCCATCCAGCGCGCTTGCCAGGAACTCCATGTGAGCTTCTATGACCCTCGGCCTTCGCTTCGAAGGCGACGTCTTGTCGATTCCCCACGCAAACATGCCGCAGAGCAGAGTGAAGTAGGCCAGAGCATAGCCTCCCAAACTGTAAACTAGACCCCCACTGTTTCCTTCCTCATCCAACTCATGAACAGAAAGGAACCATGATGGAAGCATCTCCTGGATGAGACCTTGTATCAGACCTGATCCTCCTGACAACCACACAAAAGTAGCACCCAGCGCAGCGGCCACTTTCACCTGCGCCATGGCGGCGGCTAACGATACTTGCCCGTATCGCAATCCATGCTTCGTCTTCTTCAGCTTCTCGATCTTCTCTTTGGACACAACAGTATCTGCAATTTGTTTCACTGACTGCATCATGATGGACAGGATGTCTTCGGTTAGAAGAACGATGTCTTTAAGGCACCGGTAGACTCGAAGGTATAGAATCCCGGGAGCGACGGGCGAAAGACCGCCGCAGAAATGGGAGCCAAATCCATGGCCGAGAAGGCTGCCTGCGCTGCCATTGCTAGACATTTGATCGCCGGAGAGGCCTAGTGTGGCGGTGAAGCAGCTGCGAAGCAACTGGACGATGGCGTCGTTGTTGTGATGAAAGACGGTTCGAGAGGCGGAGAAGATGAGGAAGTCGCTCCAGCGCTTGACTTTTTGAGTCCACAAGGCTGCCACGATGGGCATGCTTGGCCATGGGCAGCTTGCGGCGAGGTTCTCTAGAGCTGGTCCGGCGAGGTTAAGGAACCGTTCGGATGCTTTATCAAGCTTGTATGTTATGGTGAGGCTCACAAAAGCTGCCAGAGGTAACGGAAGTGTTGCTTGGGAGATTCCCCCTGCCATATAAAAGCATTATACTTATAAAAACCAAATAGTAGAATTGATTTACTTCGTCTTCCAGATTTTTGTTTGAATGGAAGTCGCCAAAAATGAATATTTCTCACTTCATTGTAACAGAACTACAAAATCTGGCCTTCAAGTTTTAATTTTTATCCAGAATGCACATCACTCTCTAGTTCTGAATGAAACAGTTTGGTTGGAAGCACACCGAGAGAGAGAGAGAGAGAGAGAG